ACCGAAAATCTCAAACGAGAAGACGAAACATGATCTAAACGATAATGCCATAATCTAAACGATAATGCCATAAATAAAAACTACAAGAAGAAGGACTCAAACGAAAACAAGACAAATCAACACTAGTAGCAGCAGCAGCATCAACACTAGTAGCAGCAGCAGCATCAACACTAGTAGTAGCAGCAACTTGCACTTTTAACTCATCCAAAATACATAGTCCCCCCTTCCTACGGCCTATCCCAATCAGCTTCCGAGACTGCAGATCCTGCACATAACAAGAAGAAGAGGAAAAGGTGACTAAATTACCAAAATCACATGACTGACCAACAGAAGCAAGATTTAATGTAAGTTTCGGAATATGATAAACAATAGAGAGAGACAAGTGAGGTGTGACAACAGAACCAACACCTGCTAAAGGCATAGGAGTGCCATCAGCAGTCATGACAGGAATAGAAGATGAAAGAGACACAGAAGCAAAAGATGAAGAATCTGGAGACAGATGATGTGAAGCGCCAGAATCCAAGACCCATACAGAATTTGTCATACCTGAAGAACTATGAGGAAACTGACCTACAGAAGAAGAAGTAAACATAGCTTGTGGCTGTAAGAAGAGAAACTTTTGAAATTGCTTGGCTAGAGTACTAGGATCGGTGAAAGGACCTAATGAAACTATTGTTGCGGTATTAGACTTTAGTGGTTTGTAACCCTGATATGGTCTATGAGCATTAGATTATGACTGGTTGCCAGGCTTCCAAGCCTGAGATTGCTGCTACGATTGATTCTACTGTCTCAACCTAAGATACTGAGCCTTCCAATGACCTTTTTGCTTATAGAAACTGCACTCGTCGAAGGCAGCCCTTGTGTAAGGCTTATTTTGATTATTAAAGAGTGGCTTAGAAGGTACTGCTAACACAGAAGGATTAGAAGTATAAAGAATTCCCTTTTTAGAATAAGACTTAAGACGTATTTCTTCAGCCAATAACTCACTGACAACTAAGTCAATAGAAGGAAGTGGAGAACAATGCAAAATTGAACCTCTAATTCCTTCAAAATCACTGCAAAGTACCGTTAAAAACTGTACCAACCGTTACTACTCTCTATGAGCAATATAGGCACCACATGCCTTTAATTCTGCAGATTCTGTAAGAGCCAATTGATCGATCCCAAAGATCTGTCATAGCAAAATAAAACTCCTGAATACTCATATTCTTCTGCTGAAGAGCTTGTATGTCATTCTCCAATTGATACTGCCTTGCAAAATTTGATTGAGTAAATAATCTTTGTAGATGATCCCAAACCTCCTTTGTTGTCTCATACTCCGCCAACTGTGTACCTATGGAATGCTCAACATAATTGTTAATCCAAGTAATAATTTTTGCATTGTTTGCTTCCCAAGCATCTATCAAAGCAGCATAACTCTCATCAGTATTCCTAGGTTTCACAGAAGTTCCACTAACATATCCCCACATCTTTTTACCCTTGAGAAAATTTCTCATCACATAACTCCAATACGAATAATTATTTCCATCTAACCTCACACTCACAAACTGAAGCGAATCATCTCTTTCAGTAGCCATAATCAAAAAAATAAAGAAAACCATAATGCAAAAGAAAGGAAAACGAAATACCAGACTACAGAAACTAAACAAATACCCTCTCGAAATTGTACGATCACTCCAAAAAAAAAAAAAAAAATTGGGACTCCACCTAGAACTCCGATAGGGGCATGCTGCCGCCTTTATACCCCTAGCCAACTCACCACAAAGTTGGATCCGCATAAGCTGTGTTTAAGATTAAGCCTCGTCCCATGAAACTTGGCTTTGATACCATGTTAAACAATCTAAAGAAATAAGAAAAAAGAGGAGACTAGGGTTTCATTGATACTGCATAATGCAATCGAATACAAAAAGAATAATTTAACCTAAATACAAAGAGACTATATATAGGCTAAACAAAAGAAACTGAAAAGACTATTCTACCCGTAATAAACAATAAAACAAAATAACCCTATACTTCTTAACAATTCCGGTGCAGGGCTCAATCCTGCAAGGTGTTTTGGTCCGACAATTGTGAGAGAGGGGCATCTGTGGGATGGCCACTGGGTCCTCTGGGTGGGTCCTGCTATTGCTTGCATGGCATTTGCGTTGTATACTAAGATTATACCACGCCAGCATTTCCACACCTACGCATAAATAAATGCATGTAAGAGTAATATTATACATCTCAAGAAATTTCTTAAAATTCATCTTATTTGGCATTGCTATATCGTTCACAAAATCACCATTTCATTTAGGATGAGAATTTTAAGATAATTTTTGGGATGTATAGTGTAATAAAACGTACACGTTTTTAGTATACTGGTGGTGGGTGCTATTAATTCATTTGTTGTTATTTTTGGAGGTCTACTGTATGTGTTTCCATTATTTGGAAAATGTTAGTCTTAGCTTATTAGGATTGAGAAACAAAGTATACGTGATTATTTTATTTATCTTAGGTGACGTTCGGTAACTTATAAGATAATTATATATTGTTGACAACTTAATGATACTAAATTAATAAGACTAGAGAAAATTTTATAATATATTTGTTTGTAATTTTTTTAACATCTTATTATAAAGAAAATTTTATGATATGTTTGTTTGTAAATTTTTAATATCTAATTATAATATTAAGTATTTGTTTTTACAAATTTTAAATATCTGAAAACAAGTATTTTTACATAAATATCCTTGTTAATATCAAAACTTTGCAAATATTTTATTTAATTTTTTTTAATTGTTTGTATCCTCTATGTAAATTGAAAAGGTTGATAGAGATTAAGGTTTCAAGGGGTATGATTGAAATTTAAAAATTACAGTAGGGATATTTTTGGAGAAGTCATTTAAAACAAGCAAGTAAGTCTTTAGTCTTTAGTTAAAAGCCAAAAAATTTAGTTTTTTCCGTTAAGAATATGACTTATTCTCGATCTTAAGTGATCAAACCAAATAACCTTTAAATATCTTAATGTAAAAGATACACTATTTCTGGTTTTCAGAAGTGAAAAAAAAAAAAAAAACAGGCCCTTATGAAGTGTTGTTTGAGAGAAATTTGTAGTTGTCTAAAATAAGATAGTTGAATTTATTTCCCTTTAATCGCAAAAAAGTACAAGACTATGAATCAATGGAGTATTTGTGAAAAATAGAGACGATGACAGTTATTGATGCTCTTAATGTAGGATTTCTCTCGTGTCCTCACCTCATAGGGCCATTGGTTATGGGCATTAACTTTGCTTCATACTCTTAAGGACTATGAAACATTTTAATTGTAGTGCCTCCTGTCCTTCTTAGGGAGGTGGGTTTTATCTAATTAAATAGTTGACTGTTGTGCGTATGATTTAGAATTGAGTAATGCTACAGTCACCAAAGTAGTGCACCGAATGACGTGATAAAATCTTAATCATTGATTAATTTTAATTTAAAATTAATCAATGGTCAAGATTTTATCACGTCATTCGGTGCACTACCTTTGATGACTGTATCCTTTCCGTTTAGAATTAAAGGACCTTCGATGATTGTACCCTTTCCGTTTAGAATTAAAGGATCATTAGACTAGTGCCATTTTTGTTGTTTAGGTGTATGGCATAGATTAAAAAGCCATTAGATTTCGGCCACATACTATGCTAGCTCTTTTGGCATGGAATGTGCTACAAAAGCCCACCAATCTTACTTTGTAACAAGCATCACTTGAGTTTCATATCTCTCATTTTAACCCATCTTTCTTTTCTTTTGCTAACTCAACCTTCTACTGCGTTATATTATACCTCAAAATTTTGATTATTCCAATAATCTCATAAAAGTAACTTTTTCTATTTTTCACAAATAATTCATACAGTATTAGTGAGAAAACAACGTTAAATTTGAGTTGACTCTTGAGTATCAATCAATATAAATTTGTATTTTTCTTTTAGTTCCTCCTATATGAATATAATAAATAAATAAGTAAATACATTATACATGTATATATACTATAATATATTGGCAACTAGTTAGTCATAATTTAATTTTGGAATTTCATTTGGGTTCAATTTCTTAGATGACCTTATTTTAAGAATCAAACCAAGAAACAAGCCATCTCTAATTGTTTTAATTGCTTTGAAAAATATTTCGGACAATCTTACCACTCTCCTTCAATTCACTTTTTTCTTTCCTTTCCTTTTCTTATCATGTCTTCTTCTCACACACCAAAAATTACTTTCACATTCAATCAGCTTTATTCAAATATTTGAAGCACATCATTGAGAGGTGAATCGGATTCTCAAGCTCATTCTCTTTGATTTTTTGAATTATTTGTAAATGCATCAGTTTGTATTGATTTTGATATAATTCCAAAATTATTTATCACCTTTCTTTTAAGTATTACTAACTAGTGACCACTTCTTTGTTGAGAGATTGCTGATAATTGAGTAAAATATTTAAGATATGTTAGCAATATTCATAGGGGAAGTTAACAATAATTTCCAAATTACATGGGATGTCTTTAAAATTGCATTAAAGATTAGGTGAGATCGACAAAATTAATCCTAATTTTTAACCAAAGTTATTGATTGTTTGAGAGCAAGGTAGTACTTTCATTTTGATTTAACAGAAAAAAAAAAAAAAATTAATCTTACTAAAAAATAGTTGGGTCTTGTTGATATTTTGGTTATATAACATTAATCAAAACTATTGTGACTACGGTTTAATTACAAATGATATGGTAACATTTGCAAAATAGCAATGAGTATTTTGGATTCTTGATAATAAAACATTTTTTTATTAAATAACGTCATAAATACATCTAAGAAAAGTTTCAAATATTTTTTTACCAAAAGTTTGTAAAATTGCAAACTGGATATAACATGTCAACAAATTGAGTTATTGTAAGTTATAACCCAACATCAGAAATTGAGTCTCATTTCTTTCCTTAATTTACTCAAGAAAATCATGAGTGCTAATGCAACCATTCATTAACATAGCTCGGTAAATCCAACTAAAAACAACCTATTTTTCCTTTACAATTTACATGCTCACACCAGGTTTGAGACGTAACAAGTGATTCCTGCATAATCATATCCAGAATTGACTATCTACTTAAGGAAGAGGTGACTACTAAGTACTAATGCTTCTATCGTCAGAATTCCACTGGTAGACAGAAGAAATCTCCAAAATTATCTCATCAAGAAGCTTTAAGCTAATTATTCAATTTCTGTTTACAGCAAAGTTTCTTAAATCTAGTTCCAGCTAAGGGAAATGTCAATTCAGGAAGAATGGACCATTCGAGCATTACCTCATTCTCATCCAATAATCCCCGTGTTTATCAAGGTCTTCAGTTTAAGTCAGTACTAGTACAATCCTGCAAGGCAAAAAACTTCTTCATATTACACTTCTCCTGTCAGAAAATACAACAGCACAATTTACGCACTTGGGAACACCTAAAGAGTGAACACAAATCACACTTGAGAAGGAAAATGTAATTCTGCTGAAACCCAGTTCTGGCAACACAAGACAAGGAAAATGAATTTGCTTTCAATAAAATCAAAGTAAAGAATGCCACCCTCATGTACTCAAGTCAATCTTTTAGTAAGACCTAGTTTTGTACATGGTGAATGATCATGTAACAGGATTCAATCCTTTATTAAACCCTCTAATAACATTTGAGGTACTTTATGTAGAACACAACTCGCAATTCATTGGTCCAAAACCCAGTACAGGAGTCTGTAAATCCTTCAGAGGATATATCTAATCAATAAGTTTCTAAGTATAGTGAACATTCATCAAAACTCAAATAAATAAACAAATCCTCTGTTCCTGAGTCTCAAGAAAGGACCAGTACATTCAGTTATTCTCAATTAGCATGTTTTCAGAAAACAACAACTGAGTTCAACTTATTTTAATAAATATTTCCAATCCAACAAATATCTTTTATAAGCAGGCAAGAAAATATCACCCCCAATTTTAGAAAACTTCCTCATTTGAGAGTTATGATCCACACTCGTGTGCCTAATGGGGAAAAGGAAGAAAAACGAATAACATCACAGATTCAGTTGAACATTCACCAAGATGAGGGTGGCATTTAAATCTCATTAAAATGTCTTTTACATAAGGAGATTTCTAAAGTTTCAAGAAGAAAAAACTAATTTTTGATTCAATTTGCCTAAAAAATTAATAAGAACATTCCGACCATTAAGTTTTGCATTCAATGCAGTATACAAAAATAAACTTCAGCTGCATCCATGTTTATCTTGCTAATAAGTTACAAACTCTTTTTCTCAATTCCAAAAACTTGGTATCTAAGTATGGAAGAACTGATGTTAGACTGTCATATTCCGAAATCTTTATAATATTTCACAACATTAGACAAAATTCTAAAGACCAAAATAAACCTGCACTTTAAAAAAATTAAAAAGTTTCAACAGATTGACAACCTTACAACTGATAAACTAGTCAATGGCCATCGCTTCTGAGCCCCCAAAAGCGTCCTCTAACCCACTCTTCTGCTCTTCAGCCATTCTCATCTCCTCTATCAAGTTCTTCTGTTCTTCCACTATGGTATTCTGCAACTCATCCACCTGCAGAAAAGTTTAAAAAATGCAAGTAAAAATTGTGAGCACCAATTATACAGGTCAACCTATCATATCAACCAGGTCGGCAACTGAAGATCCAGCATACTATAACTTCAGTCATGTTGATACAAACACGGGGTGAATGCTTATTACTTAGAAGAAATGCAACAAAAAGGGATGTAAAACTTCAATCCCATTTATTTTTTTATTTTTCCTATCTGGATTAAAAACAAAAAGAAATTTTATAAAGAATAGCAAGATGAAGAGTTAAAAATTAAGGTGAACTAGCAGTGCACCAAACCTGAAAAAATGTCTAAAGAAATAAGAACCAAGATTTAAATAGAAATCAATTAAAAGCTGCCCTATACAGATAGAAATTAGTGAAGAAAAATGGAAATCTTGAAGTTCACCAGAAACCGAAGCTCATAAAAATACCTAAAAACAAACTATATTTCAAATATTTGTTTAATTTCCAGAATGAATTTCAAGATCCTCCTATTTGTTTCCAACCAAATAACCCAAATGGTTACCATCAGAATACAAATCAAAGATACAATAGATTTTTCCTTCTTCCTCCAGAAGCACATATCTTTCAATATGAAATGAAACACAAGAGACATGAATCACCCATTCAAAAAAACTAATGTAAAAGATTTAATGAAGAAAAACATGATCAACTTTCATCTTCATTTTATAATATAACAGACAAATGAAAAAGAAAACAAACATTAGCTTTCCTTTTTGAAGTCAATCATAAGTGTAGATCCTTCCATAAGCGATGGTGAATGCAAGAACTTTTACTATGCTAGGTAATTTAGGGTGGAGATACAGTAAACAACAAATTTACAGAGAAAGAATACACAGGAAGAAATGGGAGAAGAAAGAAGAAATGGGAGAGGTTGAGAGGAGAAAACTTAGGGAGGACAAAACTCAACATCTCACTATCAACTCATACTCAAGGCTTACTTTCAAAACAGAATAAAGTGACACATATAGTCGCCAACATATGAAACCCTAATGCCACAACAAAGGACAATAAAATAACCCTTCAGTAAAATAAGTGCAACCACAAAAGAAAATAGAAATAAACATTAGGGGAAATAGGAAAATAACCCTAAACATGACAATCATCAAGGAGGTCTGAAGTATGGAATGAAAAGAGTGAGACCAAGAAAGAGATAAAAAAATATAATTTAAAAAATAATGTAGTAGAGAAATATGTAAGATACAAATTCATATCTGAAATAAAGCACATACCACTTGCAATAAAAGAGCAAACTGTTTCTTGCGAAGCTCCAGCAACCTGGAACCTGCTGTATTCTCTGCCTCTAATGCTGCAATCTCTTTCTCCAGGTCTGTAATTATCTTCTGTGTCTCTGATCTTGGTTGCTGCAAAGCAATCAATTTCCTAATTGCTTCGCACTCCTCCTTGTGCTGTCTTTCAATCTTACTCTCTTCAAGTTGCTTCTTCAGATCTTCTATGTCAGCCTGCGCCTGTGATATCTGCCTATTTATCTCTTCTTTCAATTCATTGAAGTTCTCTTTTTCTCTTATGTTTGCATCAATAACAGCTTTGCTTTTGAGAAGAGGAATCTCAAAAGTGGACAACTCCTGTAAGAAAGTTTTGGAAAGTTTTGCACTGTCATTAAAGTTATCTTCATCCTTCTCAATCTCAAGAACAAATGAGGTGAACTTCTTCTGAAGTTTCTTCAATGGGGGTTCACCCCTTGTGGTGGTTGTGCGGGTCAGAAGTCTGTGCTTTATGATTATGTCATCCTCGTGTGGACCAAAAGCATAGTTCACTGGCACTGCTTCTCCCCTGCCAGTAGTCTTCCTTCCTTTTGCTAACATCTAAGCTGGTTATTGTTGTTTTAATCCTGCAAAATATATGCACAGCAAATTTTCATATGTCACACATCTAAAATAGCTGGCTATATAAGCAAGTGATTATCCTTGACCAACAGAATCCATATCGATTAATCAACAAACTTTGCATTGGAATTCCAAGTGGCTCTAGAATATTCAAATGGCTTATCTAGCAGCAGAACAAAGTCAACATAACAATTATTCAAACACTCTTTCCTATTATCAGAAGTTAAATATTTGAATGTTTTTCCTTTCAATAATTCAGTAATGCACTGGACTGATTGTTCAACTTTAAAACGGTTCATTCATAAAAGATTCCATCATATTAGATAAAACAAGTAATATATACACAAAACAGAAAAATAAAGTTCACACATAATAAACCTCATTTAGGCCAAGGATAAAATCATGTCAAACATAAAAAATGAAGATGGCAATTATTCAGTTCGACAGATCTCGCTCCCTCTGGTAGTTTTGATGCATTTGATAACAGTTCAAATCACCAGCAACAATATTAAATCATTTTTCAAGGTAGAGAAAAAAATTAATGGATTCTCAAATCTTAATTAATTATATTTCACAAGTCAAAATCTACACTTACTAGTCTTTCTTCACCGAAAATTTCATGTCAATCAGAGTCACTCATCAGCAACAACTTAATTACCAACACCTTATAGTTCGTGATACAATTCCCGAGGATTTAGCCGCCATTTGGATGAAACCCACAAATAGCAAAAACTTCAAAACCAATATAGCTACATTAAGATACTAAGCACTACCTCACACTCTGCTTTCCCAAGAACATGAGAAATAAATAAATAAATAAAAAGATTCGAACTTTATAATTCATGCACTTGTTATTGCTTTTGCTAAAGGTGAAAGCTCAATCATTTCCACACTTCAGCTTCTTTACTTTACCCACGTTCAACAAATAAAAAAAAAAAAAAAAAAATTATTACCTAAATTGACAATTAACCCTCCATATACACAATGAAGCATGAAAGCATCAAATAAGAACAATAAGACTTCAAAATAGCTTGAAGATGAACTAGAACTTGATGAAAGCTGAAGCTCTAACACTGATTATTCAAATTTGACCTCAAATTGAAGCATAGAGTTCAAGCCATGAACAAATTTTAGATAATTACAGCCAAACCCTAACCTAAATGTTGTTCATTCCGCACAAATCTGAACCAAAAAATTGGAAGCTAAGAAATGAAACGGAAACAGACCTTAAAATAGTAGAGAAGAACAGACCTACAAAATTCGAAGCCTAATCAGGCGAAAATAATGACATTAATAAATAAACAAAAATAAGGGAAAAAATAAAGAAATAATAAAAGAAGAAACAGAACGAAAGCAAAGTAAATATACCCAATTGGTGATTCGTAAAGAATTGAGTGAGCGGAGAGAAAGAGCGCTTTGCTGTGTGGGTTTAACTCTTTTTTATTTCATTTGCCTCTTTATTTTAGTATTGAAACGTCGTTAATAGTTTTAGGGTGCCCTTGTCAGTTTCTCAAACTTGTGGGTGTTAATGATCAAAAACTTGGGGCTGTAAAATTTTTGGAGCCCTAAAAGTAATTTGGAGCCAAATGGTTTTGGAAAATAGTAAAACCCCCACTAGGTTGAGAGAATTTAGGCTCCGTTTGGTTCATATTTTTGCGTTTTTGGGAAAATTTTTTGAAAAAAGTTAAAAAAAAGTTGAATTGGGCGGGTATTATGATGTAGGATTTACAAATTAATAAAATACCCTCTATGTTTGTTTATTTACAAAACACCCCTATAATAAAACATTAAAAGTTAACAAAAATACCCCTAACCCACCCTCAAATACGGACAGCAGGCCACCACTGTTGGAGGGTGGCCGGAGTCGCCATATCGGTGCATGACCGGCTGGATCTTGCTTGTCGTGCACCGTTATTGCCTTTTCCGGCCAGATCCATGATGGATCTAGCCGACAAAGGCCAGATCTACGGCTAGATCTAAGCTCTAAAATTAAACTGACCTATTTGTTTATAATTTTTTTGAGCTTATAAGTTGAGCTTATAAGCTAAAAAAAATAAGTTGGGGGGAGGTACTTTTTTTTTTTTTTGGCTTATAAGCACTTTGCTTATAAGCTAGTTTGACCAAGTATATTACCACATTATCCTTATTTAATTTTACAATTCCATAGTATGCACTTGTTTAATGTAGTACATTTTTTAGTAATTTTATAATAAAATGTACTTATAAGCCACATTTTACCAAACATGTCAATTATTTATCAGTCACTTATAAGTACTTTAACCAAACACGTAATTGTTTAAAATTTCAAATGCTTAAAATTTTAAATGCTTATAAGTTAATTTTAGCTTATAAGTAATTGTTACTTATAAGCTAATTTTCATAAGCTTAGACAAACGTCCCCTTAATATTGTTCCTTTGCAGCAAGTCTTTCACATTAATTTTCTTTGCAGCTCATGTTCCTTGTGTTATGCTAAGTCAGATGATTAAAGGGCCATCTTTCATCTTCTTCATTTTCAGTAATGCAAGTTCTAATTCTTTTTCTCTTTTTCAATTCCTTTTCTCTATAAGTAATGTTATATTTACTCACAATCTTACTAATCATCTTACAATCCTGAAAAATATAACGATATAGTATAGATACTATATATATAATACCTATACTATGTCATTATATTTATCAAAATAGTAAAATAGTTAATAAAATTGTGAGTAAGCATAGTTTTGTTGTTTCTCTATACTTTTTATGCGCTCTTTGCAATTGCCTTTGGTTTGCTTATTTCAAATGTGGGGCCAAAGCATGAGTCAGACACAGAACGGGGCAAGGTTCCCCGAAAAAAATCGAGGACGGGAACCAGGAAATTCCCCGCCACAGGCCCACACATCCATTAAATTAATTACAAATTAAATTAGTTTTGAAATTTTTGGGGGGGGGGGGGGGGGGGGGAATTTTTTATGAATTGATAGACAAGATGTATTTTATCACCCTAATAAAAAAGAAATTATATATTTTGACATCTACAATTTTTTATTATTATTATTATTATTTTTTTGCTTTAGTGATATATGAAGCAAAACTTATAAATGGGTTCTTTAATTATAAGATCAATTAATTGTGAAATAACATTACATAATTTTAGGTAAATTAAGGGTGAAAATATGTCAAATTAAAATTTTAAAATAAACTTTTATGAAGTTGTATAAAGTTGTTGAGTTTTGAGGACATTAAATATTTACTTTTTAAATTTACTTATTTAGTGTTTACTGTGGGAGATTAAATGAAATGAATTATTAGGGAATTTTAACACATTTTTAATTAGAAAATTTTCTATGAAAATATCTCAACTCTATAATTATTATATAATAAAATAAAATCCGAAATGACCATCCAAACCTTGGATATAGAATTTAAATATACATTTTTGTTTTTGAAAAAAGGGTTTATAAAAAATCCTTATGAAAATGTATTTGATAATATTAGTTGAAATGTTTATAAACACTAATGTAAAAACAACTAAAAGAATATATAAAAAAATTCGCTTTTCAATATCAATTGTTAATCAATATGGATAAACAAAATTCATATTTCTAAAAATAGATAATATATCGAGAAAGTAGTATAGCCAGATATAAGATAACTGATAATTTATTATCACATTAAAAGATGTGTGTGTGTGTTTGTATAAGCTATGTGATTGAATTTTCTCTTATTATTATTTATTAGTGATAATTAATTCTTGCATGCATGTTTTTCTTTGATAATATGTTTGCCGCATAGAAGCATCATAATTATCCATTCATAAAAAAATTAAAAAAAAAAAAAGAATTTCAAATTGTTAAATAGTTGAGGGGCCTAATTCCCACTACGTGGGCTATATCCTTTGGGCTTAAGATCCAACCTACCGTAAAGAAAGCCCATCTCTTGACGAGGTCTCTAGATTTATCAAATATGCAAATATTATCGAAGACTTAATTAAGAAAATGTTGTGTAAAGGAATATAATCAAAAATATTCTTTAGGGGGATGACTTAAATTACATAATTTACAAATAAATTAGAAACCCAAATTTTAATCTTATCCTGATGACAACATTCAATGGTTAAACTGAGGTTAATGTTACCCAATATAAGTCAATATCAATGTTTTAATAATGAGTAATACTACACATACATCATTTTTATACAACATTTCCCATACAACATTATGTGGCAAGATATGATTGGCTAATTTAAAGTTAAAATTAAAATTTCATTCAATCACATCTTGCCACATAATGTTGTATGAGAAATGTTGTATAGAAATTATGTATGTGTAGCATTATTCTTTAATAATCAACCCGAGGCTAAACCCAATAAAGTGGTCAGGTATTGGGTTGACTAGTTTAACTGATTTGATTAGTGGGTTAAACTGATGACGTATCACATAAAACAAATTCAAAATTTTTATATCGACGCATGTTAGCATGGTGGCTGTTTCTGACGCACATTAGCACGTGTCGACGTAGCCTTTTTTCCCTTGCTCCAACTGTTTTCTCACCCAAAATCACCCCTATTAACACCACTGAAACCCCCACTGTCTTCTCTTCAAAACCATACCCTTTATCCCTTCTCATCACTTGCCGATTATCGGCCACAACAACGACGTCAATTGACTTTCATTTGTCGGTTTCTGGCCGTTTTAAGTGACGACAACTCCAACCACCACCACTACCTTTAGACTCACCGACTACTCCCCTACAAAACCTCCAAAGTTCCCAAACCATTCCAGCCACCAATCGTTGGTAATTAGAAGCAAGGGTTTCGCCGTTTCTTGGCCAAATTCCAGTGATTCCGGCAACTAAACTTAATTGGACACCACCTTCTGACTCACCGTGATCCACCCTTCAAAAGCCCTTAACACTGATTCATGTTTGCCCGCCAAACCTAGCTGAAAGTCGCTATGATCTGAATTTTGATTCACCCGGTTTTCCCCTAAAATCGGTTAGACTAGTGGTTTACTACAATGACCCCGACCCAATTGCAAGTCATACTAGGTAAATTCACACCCCCGATTTTAAGGTCAGGCTAGCCCGACTCAGTGCCATTGCTGGATCGAACCAGTTAAACCGGTCGGGTTTTAAAACATTGGTTAATATGATTTATATACGATGTATAAACTTGATGATGTGGCAAATCAGGAAGCACTAGATGATTGTAGTGGAAGACGTAAACTTGGGGTGATTGATTCTAGGTACCCTGTATTTTTTTAATGAACTAGAATCAGACCCAAAATCGGCTGGTTCCTAAGATTTAAATCCAGAATTGGAAGAGGCCAATTTTGATTCCTAGATACTTGGAACCAGAACCTAAAACATAGGTTTCGGTTTTGGTTCCGAGTACTTGGGTAAATTTTATATTGCCCCCACTTTTTGAAAAATGACAAATATACCCCTAAAAATTACAAATACACCCCCAACAGTTTACAAAAATTATATTTTAGTCACAATTCCTACTTGGGTACCTGGACCTAGGTTCTGATTCCGTTTCCCAATTCCAGTATTGTAGGAACTTGAACCAGACCCGAGAACACTCGATTCCAATTTTCTAGAACTGAAATTAGACCCTAATGGGGTCAATTCCGATTCCAATTCTACCTTTTACCCATGCTCACCCCTAGCATAAACATTCACACGAGACACTAAAAAGCAAAGTGAACAAAGCAATTAACAACAGAAAAAGAGGAAACAAAAATAAAATAGAAACGAGTAGAGTGAGAAGAGATGACTCTTGGTCTAATCAGTGTGAACCCAATTGTCCATGCTAGAAAGGAGAGGATCCCCTGCAACGAAGAACATCACAGCGATGACTTCATTTATCTTCTTGAAATATATGATATCCTTTATATATATTATTATTATTATTATTATTTTTTAATTTTATCTTCTTTTATTTATTTAAAATTTGATGATTAGAACAAAAATGGTGATCTTTAATTCACAATATTAAATTTTGTGAGAGATATAAGAGATTCGGACTTCCGGAGCATCCGTATGTAGGGAATGATGGGGAAAAATCCCCATACCCCTGGGCAGAGACAGGGATTGGGATCGGTGGCCCCACCTCGTCTTGCACTCATCTCTAAGTCAGCCGTCAGCCTAACACTTAACTATGCAATTAAGCTAAAATTGCATTTCTCTTTCATATATACTATTAGGGTGTATTTAGTTCAGGGAATATTAGATTACTGAGAATGTTGGATTACTAGAATCTTATATTACCTTAAAGAATATTGAGAATCTTTAGGAAAATGTGTTTGGTTAGTTTGAATAAATGGGTGGGTATGTTATATTAATATGTTTAGTTAGGAGGAATAAATTAGTGAGTATGTTATTTAAATTACTAAATTGCTCTCTTTTTAAATATTAATATAATATTATTTTTATTAGCTAAACACCATTG